CTGTGTGTAAAAAAAAAAAAAGCCCCTTAATTTTTAATGCTTGTATTTTGAAAAGGACTTTGCTGGTGAACTGAAAAAGACCACCCTGAAAACAATGATAGTTCTTCATCCAGGACAAAAAGACACACTGAATATTTGATTTTAGAAGGAATCTGAAATCTTAACCTTTTGGTTTTCTTTGAAAGCAGAGGGGCCTTCAGGTTTGGTTTTGGGTTTTTGTTTTTGGTGGGATTTTTTTTGTGAAGAAACAAAGCCTTGCTATATGGAATTCAAAGGGATGCTTTGTCCAAAATGCAATAATCCTGTTCCAGGTGACAGGTGTCAGGCTTGGCCAGCACCGTGACAAGCTGTGTGGTTCTACTGCTTCCTGGAGAAGCTTTAAGACTTCAATTAGAAATCTCCTCAGACCTAGGAAAGGTTATACGAAAGAAACCTGAAATTACTTTTGAAAGTACAAAGACTTCCAGAGTAAAGTAAGACAGGCATTCACATATTTAGTTATGAATGACCTGAATATTAATTTGGAGGTATTTGTGAGTTTTCTGCAGATTTGACAAGTGAGATGCATTTAAATTTGACTTCATTTAGCTGCTATTTTTTCCTCCTCGCTCCAAGATATCAACTACTAAAGCATGTTTCCTTAACAACTAAAACTCAAAAGGTAAACTTTTATTTCTTTAAAGCCTAGAAATTCTGCTTTTTTAACATTGCTTCCTACAAAGGATAGCTGTGCAGTCGCCAGACTTGCCAAACCTTCGTGGAACAAAGAGAAAAGATTATATCAGAATGACATGCCTCCAAAAAGCTGAGTTTCTTTCCGGCCAGAGAAAGAAATGACTAATGTGCATTGCGATTAGTGTGAAAAACAATACTATCTCTGCAGTTGCAGGCTGGGAAAACTACATTTTGATGTTTACACAGCAGTAAATGAAGTGGGAAAACTTTGAGCTACTGTTAGAAGTTGGGTAATAGGCACATTTTTCCTCTCAAATATTTAATGACAGTGAATCATTAATCACCCCTCAGGTGAGGACTTCTACATCTTGCTACTGCGAAGATTAGAATATTGCAGGATTCCCTAGTGATCAATAAATTAATAAAAACCAGACTAAATCAGGTTAACTTTAAATTTAAAGTTACGAGTCCACAGGAAACACATGATCCCATTCTTTTCACCGCTCTACAGAAAACAACAATACAGGAAGCAGAGCAGTGTGAGGATGCAAACTTTGCCAATGCTCAATAAATTAATAGGAAAAAAAAAAAGTCTGAAATGGTTTGCTTGCAACACCCAGGGCTCAGCCAAGGCAACCCATGTCTCAAGAATCAAATATTTTTGAAGCAGAAAAGCCAGGGATTCCTGTCTCTTCACGTAAGTGGCATTTCCACACACCACCCTCCCTGTCATTCATTATCAATAGTTCTGTCCTTCTTTCCAGACATACTGTCTCCACTTACATTCCATTTTCAGTTTGCCCTTGGTTGGCAAGCAAGAGATGAATCTCAACCCTGAAAAACCACTGGTAGAATTTTAATTTGATTTTTTTTAACCATTAGACCAGTATATTTCCTCAGAACCACAGTCACAGAATTCAACTTGAAATGCATTCCAAAACCTTGAAGTACTGGTGCTCCAAATGTAAACAAACCCCTCAGATGTGGATATAAAAATCCAAGTTTTATGTAAGGACAGATTTACATAAGACAAAGCGAGGAAAAAGAAGCCTCACGAGCTTCTTTTCATGAGAAAGCAAGAAGCTACATGTAATAAAAATGTGAACAAGCGAGGAAAAGGAAAGAAACGGATGCACAAGCCATGGAATCTTCGGTTTCAGCTCTGCCATCCCACCAGTCTGAACAAGTGCAACACAGATAGCAAGGAAACAAGAGGTACATTGTGCAGTGTTCAACTCAAGAGAGACAAGAGATGAAAAGTATCTCTTGTAATCCAAAGAATGCAGAAAGAGTCAAGGATCCCAGTGATACCACCGTCAAAGGAATCTTGGTTTTTTCTCCCTGTGCTGACTCAACCCAGACAGTACAAGGTGTGCACACAGTAAGCAAGGGAAGCAATGAAAATGTGAGAGGCAGCACTTTTCCTCTGAGATTATTTCTCACCTCAACCAGAACTCGCTGGCATGTCAGAGAAAAACTCTCCCTGAAGCATAGATCCTTTTAGAAAGCACCCAGGACCTTGTCCCATCTATTAATTTCTTTCAGTAGATACCACCAGTGAAGATGAATCCAATATCACTGTGCAAAAAACCTGAATGCCTCTGAAATGTCTCTCAAAAAACAAGTTTTCTGAACTGTATTTAAGACTTTGTGCAAGTTAATTCAATTTAGAGGGTCATTAGACCTACACCGAGCTTCAAAAAAAAAAAAAAGGTGTATTTTTGTCCACTTCTCATATTTGAAGTTGTGAAAGAAAAGCATTTGCCAAAGTCACTCCTCTGTTCTGAAATCAAGTAGAGACACGACTGAAATTCTAACTTATCAACTGAAAGTTTCATGAAGAAGTGAAAGGGCCTCGAACCACACACTGCAGCCCCCAAAAATCCTTGTGTTCAAAGTCACAGAGACAACTCCAGAGGATCTACAACACCCAAAGGCTGTAAGAGGCAGCATAGTGGACCAAGACCAAGGTGTTTACTGTCATCCACAGGAATTCTCCTCCTCTCTTCAGTCTCCACAGCTTCATGGCAAGGAATTCTGCGGATCTAATTCCTGCAGTATGAAATGACCTGCTTTTGTTTGTTCGTTCTGATCTAGGTTCTGACCAGCTTTATCTGATGTCCACTGGTTCTTGTGCTGCCAGAGTGAACAAAAGTTCTGTTTGCCTTCACCTCGTTCAGCATTTCATAGGCTTCTCTCCCACATTAAGCTGGGTTTTTTTTGGACTGAAAATTCCTAAATTGCTGAATTGCTCACATCTCTCAACTTTACTACCTTCCTCTAAGCATTTTTCAGTTCTACTGCCTTCTCTCCAAGATGAGGGAACCAGGCTGCAAAGACTATCAAAAACATGTAGGAACCACTGATTTATATACATATAATGTTGCTTTTCTTCATCGTTTTATTTATTAACACTGAATAAAAGTGGATTGATCTCTTTTTTTTTTTAAGTACAAAAATCTGACTCCATGATTTCAGGTGGGAAAAAGTGTTTTAATAAACCACACACTACAAGCTGACCCTTTGTCTCATGCCCCAAAACAGATAGCAAAAGAAAGTCATATAATAACAACAAAAGAAATTCATATAATAACAACAAATTAGATTAGTGATGCTTATGATGACAAACCAAATTGCTTTATTCAAAACTCGTAGAGGTAAATAAGTAACTCTCCCCACGTGAGGATGGGCAAGCACCATCCTGATGAATTTTCAGCAGGCACATACCTTCTGTTCTCACACAGTAAAATCATTCAAAGACTGTAACTCACATGACTTGTTTCAAAGTGACAAATAAAGGATTGACACTGCAGTCACCTGGCAGACAGCCACAAACTGGCTCCACTGAAAGGAATTTATTCAAATACAGTCAACAACATATTTTAACGTGGCGGGAGAAAACCTGGCCCAAACACCACTGCATTCCAAATTTCCTGGAGTTACAGGTTAACATATACATACTCTGGCTAAATGCCACATGGGAAAAAGTGAGAGACCAGTGTCTCTATGAATTCTGCACCCTGTTTTAGCCAGCAGGACATTGCTTGTACTATTCCACCACATGGAACCACCACAATCTTTAGCAAGAACATGTTGCTGGTTGCAGGCAGCAATTCCTTCCCTAAAAATGCTTGTTTTAGAAGAAAAATGACCAATTGATGTATATTAAAGAGACACGTAACATGCCTACAATATGAGACTGAAAGTACTCTAATGAATAATCAAAAAAATCCTTCTCAAATACAGGACAGCTTAAGACAGTGTCTAAAGCCAGATTCCAAGACAACACAGCATTTTTTATGCTGTACGTACTCACACACGTGCTACACTTTGGCAAAGCTCCTATGTAGCACAGAGTGCATTTTATATATGTGCAGAAGAATTTCTACTAGTTCTACACTATATTAAGGACAACACAAAGTAAATCCTTTCAGTCATGCAATATTCCTATCTATCCTTACACAGCAACGACGATTTGCTTCAGCTTTTTCTGCAGTAAGATAAAGCCATTGTACATTTATCCTCATCTGTACTTCTGATACACAGAACTTCAACAAGAGACAAGCTTTCATTTTGGCAAATGACCAGGGAATTTTATTCTCTTTAGTTATACTGGTTCCCTCACCTGCTCCAGTTATCAATAGAATACTACTACAGCAGCAGGAGTTGCAGAATGGTAGCCACACACAGAAACACAGGAGGTGTGACTCATATAGAAGTCGATCACTGAAAAGCTGACCTGTACAAAAGGCAAACCAGCCTTAAGCAAGGCCCGTGAGTGGTGACAAGCCAGAGAAGAAAGTGCATTCTGAGTTTCTCTCACTTGCTTCACCAATCTCATTTACATCATAAAACAGGGGGCTTGGGGGGGGGGGAATCAAACTGATAAGAAAAGTCATACCAATACATAGTCTGACAGGATATATTTTTACAGCAATGGATTCTAAGTTCTGATATTTCTGATATCAAAAATTAATCATGTTGTCAGGAAAACCATTACCTGCTTCTGTTTACTACTTTTCCCGTCTGCTTTTCTGGAGTTTTGGCAATGTCTGACTTGCAGAGCTGAGGACAACTCCTTATGCAGAATCACTAAGGCTGGAGAAGACCTCCAAGATCATTCAGTCCAGTCTTGGACCAAACACCACCTTGTCAGCTAAACCACGGCACTGAGTGCCACGTCCAGTTGTTCCCTGAACACCTCCAGAGATGGGGACTCCACCACCTCCCTGGGCAGCCCCTTCCAATGCTTCACCACCCTTTCAGTGAAGAAACTCTTCCTGAAGATCTGCTGCCCAATTTGAAGCTTTTTGTTCATAACTTACCTCCAGATGAAGACAGACAGAGATCTCTTTATGCAGTGGGCTCAGAGCGACCTGCTGCTCCAGGCATAGGTGTCAACTCTGCTTGACAGCGTCAGTTCCTAGAAGAAAGAAATTGAAATATCGTTATACCTTAGTAAAACTACTTTTTCTTGAGGATAAAGTCCTATTCCCGCTCCTCCCTTTTAATGCTTTGGAAAAAAAGAGCGTTCTCCCAGCATCTGTAGATCTATAACAGCCTGCTGCATACAAATAGGAGTTTATTTTTAAAAAGTTAGTTCAAAAGAAATGTGGAATACTGAACCTAATTTGCTGCTTCTTATAAGTTTTCCTACTATAAATAACCAAGCGTGGTAAAAAGCATTTCAACAGCTTTCCAGAAGGTTAGGAAAAAAACTGAGCACTGTATTAGGGGGTCATGAGCATCTACCACCACTAAATTGTAAGTATAGGAGATTGTGAAATAATCTTTCCTAATTTTCTTTTTAAGGAAAATAATCCTCAGACTGGAGCTGTTCCAGACATAAAAACCTCCAAGTGCTCTCAAACTGCATACCCTGCCTCCCTTGGAGTAGTGAATCACAACCAATAATGCATAAATAGTCACACAAACTAGGCAAAGGGTAACAAATCCCAAACTGCTGATTAAGACTAATATTAATCAGCTTGGAAGGGATGCTTACTACAGCCATGTTTAACAGCATCATTGTGACAGACCTACAAACATTGCCTAACACTATGTCACAGCCAAGGAGAACATGTGAGAGGTGGCTGTTTTCAAACATTCATCACCAAAGACTTCCTGAACAGTATTTTAAAGGGACTTATCTATTATGTTTAACTCTAAATGGGAACTTTAGCATAAAAGAACTGATCTACATCAGAAAAACCTGCTTCTAGCATTTTGGTATCTCCTCTTCCACTGTTGTCACACACTAAATTTTGTCCAGGCAATATGTTTGTCTCCCAGTATCAATCAGAGTTATAAGAAAAGATGCAGTTAAGTACCAACTCCAGCATAAGAATGCCATAAGAGTTCAAAAAAGCAACAAACACCTCTTAAAGATCTGGAAAGAAAGGACTTGCCTGTTGTAAAACACTAGACCATGCACACTGAGCATCGAAGCCCTACGGGGTAATTGCTTCTCTCATTATGGCCAAAAACTTCATAATAGGACGTTCAGCAGCTCCGAAAATCTCATATCAAATCATTTTCACCACCACTGACTGAATATGTAGCTTGCACTCACAAACCAGTATTAATTAAATTCCTGGGTTGTCAGAAAATGTTTTGGTGATGTTTTGTGCTTTCCACTCTGTGGACCCACTAACATTTAGTAATGGTTCATCACATGGGCCTTTTACTTCAGCTCTGAAAGGACTGTAACAAATTTTGGTGAGTTTATGCCTCTCAGCTGAGAACCTGTAATTTCATAGAAGGAAGATATGCTTGTTAAAAATCCCTAATGTATTTGATTGCAGTTCCACTACAGATCATTGCTTTAGGTTTATTCACCACGTAGCCATAACTAGAATCAAACAGTCATAGAAAATGCAGAACATTCATTTAACCCACCACATCAAGTTAGATCCCCCATGCTTAAGCCCCAGTTACTTATCCACATGTTAGATTAGGAAAATAGATCTGGTTTTAGGATACAGATGGTGACTTAGTTAATCCAGAGGCACATATGCTTGAGTTTTGCTGGGGGAGGGAGCAGTAGAGGAGAGAAATAGCATCTCACTTCGAACTATGAAAGCTCAGCTTTGAGATGTTAAAAGAGGGGTCTTTAACTATTGCAAACTGATCAACTGCCAATATACAAGCAGTAAACATTTCAGTTGCTGTTCCTTGTTAATTATCCAGGATACTTTACACACCAGCCAAAGAACAGTGGATTCTTAACCTGAGAATGGAGCAGCTGTGATGCTGATCCAGCAGCAGGGACCGACACTTCCACTCAAACAGAGCTGCTTTATCTTCTGCTCTATTGAAGCCCTAAAGCTCTTCTCAGACCACTTTGCAAACTGAGTGGGAAGGAGTGAGGATAAGAGCCACATTCTGTCCTTAGGGACCCCTATTAAATCAGATTCCCAACATCAGCCACTTCCTCTTTGTTTTCCTCAAGCCATATGGCTTCCTGACAAAATCTGTACAAACAATAAATCCATTAATCAAGCCACTGCTGGAGGAAAAGCCTTTTTTTTCCCCCTTCCCTTCATCAATCCAGACATTTTAATGGAGATGTTTTATGTATTTTATTTTATGAAAGTCCCAAAGAAAATACTAAAGTAGTCTTTGTTCACACACTGCAGCCTTGTAGGCCAGAGCTGCATTTCCAGTACATACTTGTAGAAGGAGATCCTCACATGTTAAAATGCAAAGAGATACAGCAATAGAGTCAAACCAGCAAGAAAGGAGTCCAGCCTTGTTAAATATTTAGCAAGGATGCAGTATAAATTGCTACCTGGGCTCCCAAGTATATTGTACCAAAAAAAAAAAAAAAGGCAACAAAAGTTACAGTTTTTTGTAATCAACACAAATAGGTAAAACAAGAGAGGCAGCTCTGAAGAGATGTGTAGATGTAAATAAATGCCACAAGTAGGCCATGAGCAGTTGAAAGGAAGAGCTTCTTTTAAGAGATGCCACAAAAAAGGACTTTCTTTGCAAGGGGAACCAAGATGACCAGTTCCACACAACATGCTACATAATCTGTTCGGCACCTCCAAATTCGTAAAGTCGCATTGGTGACAACGTGCATCTCAGATCACGAGGAAATAAACACCACATATGCAAAGAACTCTATGGTAGGGAGGAAACACAGAGAGAAGAGTAAGATTTTTAGCTCTTGTAGGTGGGAAAATCCCTTTCTAAGATTAAGACCTGATTTCCTTTGCTTGCAGCAGTTTTTTTACAACATCGGATTATTCTCGTACCCTCAGATGTCACTCACAGACATTTGTGAAGTCTGTGCTACCCCTGTCTATGCCAAACAACTACTTGCATCACACCCTGGAGCCTTCACAGCAAAGCAAGGGGTTTCTTAGTGATGATGGGAGAAGGGGGGACCAAGACACAGTTCATCACCTGAATGTATGATGGCATTACCAACGAACTGAACAAGGTTGATGTGTTTAGAGACTGTCATAGACTGGCCTGGGTTGGAAGGGGTCTTAAAGATCATCTCATTCCAACCCCCTGCCATGGGCAGGGACACCTTCCACTAGCCCAGGTTGCTCCGAGCCCCATCCAACCTGGCCTTGGACACTTCCAGGGATGGGGCAGCCACAGCTTCTCTGGGAAACCTGGGCCTGGGCCTCAACAGGGAAGAATTCCCTCCTAATATCCCATCTAAACCTGCTCTCTGTCAATGTGAAGCCATTCCCCCTTGTTCTGTCACTCCAGGCCCTTGGAAACAGTCTCCCTCCATCTTCCTTGTAGCTCCTTCAGGTTCTGGAAGGTCACCCTGAAGCCTTCTCTTCTCCAGGCCGAACAATCCCAATTCCATGAAAATGCAAAGTGTCTGATTTGATTATCTCTTCCCACTGATGTTTTTTTCCGAAACTTCTTTGACTAAAGTTATTAAATCAATAGTCTGCAGTGCAGGAGGAAAACTGGGAAGAACGAGAAATTGCTTTCAAACTCAAGGGGTCTGTTTCAGTCACACATTTCCAAAGCAACTGCGACCCTTCCACTCACACAGAAGGAAAACTAAATTGGCATGGTAACAAATTTTTTTACCTTAAATCATGTTTTATTTTCTTCACAGGTGTTCTGTAGCTTACTGGGCTATCAAAACTATGTCTTAATTCATGTCAACCAAAGTAATCCTGTGTTTAAATGAAGTTCAGGAAATACAAAGCAGTTTATGACACTGACAAAAACCTTACAGAGAAAGAGCATTAAAAAAAAAAAAGGAGTGAAGTTTGTTTTTAAAAAGTTTGGGTGGGTTTTTTGTCTTTTTTGGGGGGTTTGGTGGTTGTTTGCTTTTTTTTTTAAATACAGGAAAGTAGCATCTTGATTAAAAGCAGGAAATCTTTTAAATTAAATCCCTTTCAGTCTTTGTTGAAGTTAAGTAACAATTAGCCACAAAATAAAAAAAAAATAGGGAAAGAGTAGCCTTCAAATTTTGAGTCATTGTCTCCAAGGAGACACATCTGTAATTTTAACAAGGTCAGAACATTTCAGTCAGTTCTTTTGGGTAATGGATGATACACAGGGAGCCTACACCATCATGAATTATTAGCTTTGAGGCCACAATCTGAAAAGATGCACCATCATATTCAGAGTACAGATGGATTTGTAAATGCCTTGAGGTAGTGGTGGTGAAAGGTATGTTTGTTTTGGACAGAGCAGTGAGGAGGATCAGGTGCTGCAAGTTAAGGAGGCCTTTTACCACATCTGGGTCAGATGGTCCCAATTATCCTCTCATCGCTGTTAATCAGAAGTCCTCCTTCAGCAGCCCTATAATAACCTGTGTAAAAGTAAATCTGGCATTGGTGTTTGGCTTCTAGCAAGAAAAAAAAGCTCGCCTGTCACAAATCAGTGCAAGCAGCACCCTGGCTGGAAGTGTTCAAAAGCCTGTGGCAAGTGCAAAGTGATGTCTCCACGTCAAGTGTCAAAGTGGAACACAGGAAATGTTGACAAGAAAATTTAGGTGTGTACCAGTGGGGAGGAAAAGGTCCTGCTACATCACTGTTCTGCTCTTTCTGACCCTATGGGTAAACAGCAGGTGCTCCCAAATTAACAGGATCTGTTAATCAGCCTGTTTTGGCTACTGCTCTTACCTGTGGGGACAAAACTGGAAGCGAGACACTTTATTAGGAGAATACAAAGAGCATCAAACTGTTTGTCTTCACCGACTTGTTCATATCCTCACCTGACTGCAGAAGATCAAAGGGGTTTACTCCCCATCTTCCCCCGAGCAACCCCACACCTCAAACAGAATTAAGAGAGGTCCATTAACTGCACCATTAATCCCACGTCTGCTTGTGTCCATTTTGTCTGGAGCACTCAGGTCCTGCTTACCGAGTGAGAAGCCTACATCTGTGAATCCCATATAGCTTTGTGTGTGTTTGCTTTTTAAAAACCATATCCTGC